ATAAAATGAAAGATCATAAGAGAAATGGTTGCCAAATCCTCGAATGTTATGAGGACTGACCAATTTTCAATCCTTTCTCCTACAATGATCCTAGCCATAAGGATGACAGTCAATATCACCGGACCCTACATTTGGATAAGAAATATAGGCAAGAGTATGCGTCGGTACAAAAATGTACTAAATATGATAGCTTGCATAAAAATCAACATAAACATAAGAATAAGACAATATATGCCATAAGCAAAATCAATGCACATAATAGAACATATCAATATAAGAAGAATACTTCTTGAAGTACCCTCAAAGCATACTTAGCCAAAACATGGGAAATCCTTGACTAGTCTTACTCATCATAGTAGGCAACCCTAGGCCATCATCCAAGCTTATCACTTATCATAACATGTGAATCTCATCTTAAGCCATACTTACGATACTTACTTGAAGTAACCTTGTTTCATCATAACTATGCTAAACTTGATGGAGTGTTGTTCATTCTTAGTTGTTCTTAATATCCATGGAAGGCACGTCATCTTGCCATTCCATGCTAAGTCATTATCCATGGAAGAGCACACTATCATGCCAATCCAATCTAAGTCATTATCCATAGAAGAGCACATCATCATGCCAATCCAAGCTACCTTGGAAAGGTATAAATATACCAATCAAAGTTACCATGAAAAGGTATCATATCCTTACCAATCCAAGCTACCATGAAAAGGTATACTAATACCAATTCAAGCTACCATGAAAAGGTATCATCTCCTTACCAATCCAAGCTACCATGAAAATGTATACAAATACCAATTCAAGCTACTATAAAAAGGTATCATATCCTTTCCAATCGAAGCTACCGTGAATAGGTATAATCTTACCACTTCAAGCTATCCATGAAAAAGCATCTCATTATGCAAATCCAAGCTATCCATGGAGAAGCATCTCATTATACTAATCCAAGCCAGGTTTTATTATTATAGTTCATAAATTCTCTAATTCATTTTAGGTGTGCAAACCTCTCAACCTCGAATAATTCTATGTGAGGAAACCTTTCACATTCATGTCTTCATACATTCATAAAGGAACTCATGTGGGTAAATCTCTTCCACAACAACTCTATCAAATAATCAACAATTCATAATAGAAGTTTTACTCTCAAAGCCCTACATCTCATAATCATCATATATGCCTAAATCTCAAGAAAATTTTAATCATATATCATCATGTAGGCTTAAATCTCAAGCACTTTTAGTGTATCACATCAATCCTAAAAGAATACATCTAAACCCACAAATTCTTCTTTCATGGCATAAAACCCATTTACATCAATTTAATCCTTCTAGACATGGGTTAAGAATGTGTACATGTAAATTCATCCTAAAAACAGGTAATCCTATCAATTCACGCATAAACAATCATAACCCAACCATTTGGATCAACATTTATCAATACCCACAATTATAGAAGAAAACCTTAATTCAAATTGGGGAATTTCTACTTTTCAATTGGGGAATCTTAGGTACTCCATGGAAGAAAGAATTCCATGGATGAAAAGCCATCATACCTTGATAAGAAAGCCCACAAATGCTCGAGGAATGGAGACTTGACCTTGATCCTAGCTCCAACTCTTTCTTCTTCTTCAAGTTCTAGAGAGAGAAATATTTGAGAGGAAGACTTTGGGATTTCTTTTGGGTTTTGGAAATAATTACTTGAATGGATGAGTTTTGGGGTTAAAATCACTTATATAGGGGTCCTAGTCTTGGGTAAAATGACATAGCTTTGAATTAATTAAAACCAAAAAATACCCATTAGCCCCTAACTTAAAGTGGAATGCCTCACCAACACCTAAGGCACCACGGCCCGTCAAGGACCACACGGACCGTAGTGGTGCCCGTGGTCCCTTGACTAGTGGCCTCACTTGTCACCCCTCAATTCCAAAGAACTAACTCAAGGCCACGACCCCTCCCACGGCCCGTGGTGGCCTTCACAAGATGTTTGGTGGCTCGTGGGAGGGTCAAACTTTTGGGCAGTCTTGGGAGCTAACTGCCTAGCCCACCATGCCTATCACCACGGCCCATGGTCCCCACCAAAAGGCATCATGGTGGTCGTGGGAGGTGAGTATGGCTTAGTGAAGGCTGCCCAAGCTCACTTCTTTGGCCCTTGCCCTCTCACTTTGCCCTAGCTTAGCCTACTAGATTCTGAGGTGTCACATTGCTCCAACTTTGATCCCACCCGACCTTGGATAGTTCGAACGTAAACCTCCTCCCTGATTTGCTAAGAAATGCACTTCTTCATTGTACATAGCTTCAAAATGCGCTTTATAAGGATTTACTCCACTAACTCCAACCATATTCACAGCATTTGAACAACTTCTCATGACATGTTTCATCAATAGGTCCATTTGGGTCATCATCTTGGTAGCCTCACTTGCCACCCCTTAATTCCCAAAAACTAACTCAAGGCCACGACCCCTCCCACGGCCCATGGTGGCCTTTACAAGCCATTTGGTAGCTCGTGGGATAATCCAACTTTTGGGCAATCTTGGGAGTTCACTTCCTAGCTCACCATTCCCATCACCACGGTGTATAGTCCCCACCACGAGGCATCATGGTGGTCGTGGGAGGTGAGCATGGCTTGGTGAAGGTTTCCCAGGCTCACTTCCTTGGACCTTGCCCTCTCGTTTAGCCCTAGATTAGCCTATTAGATTCTGAGGTGTTACACTGTTCTAACTTTGATTCCCTCCCAGCCTTAGATAGTTCGGACGGAAACCTCCTCCCTAATTTTCTAAGAAATGCACTTCTTCATTGTAAAATAGTTTCAAAGTGTGCTTCATAATAATTTACTCCACTAACTCCGACCACATTCACAGCCTTTGAACTACTTCCCATGAAATGTTTCGTCAATAGGTCCATTTGGGTCATCACGTTGGATATGTTTTCATCTCGCTCTTGGTTCTTTTCCATGTGCTCTTTTGTCATCAAAAAGTTCAAAGGAGACACTTGATCTTCTCTAGTGTACCAAGCACAATTGATTTTTATCATCTCATCAAGAAAATAGATGATGTGTCAAATGGTTGTTGCATGATTCCTCCACGAACAAACTGATCAGCCACACCTTTGTTGACTGAATCTAGGCTCTGGTAGAAATATTGTAGCAATACATTGTTCAGGAGTCCATGAGTTGGACATTGGAGCAGCAATTTCTGAAACATCTGCCATTTCTCATGAATAGGTTCACCATCCACTTGTTTAAAGTTTTGAATATTATTCCTCAACTTCACCATCTTCGAGGTAGGGAAAAACCTTACATAAAATTCATTAGTGAGCTCCTCCCAAGAAGTAATTGGTTCCCTTGGTAAGTTGGCCAACTACTTTGTTGCCTCCCCCGTTAGAGAAAAGGGAAACAAATGAAGTCGAACCGACTCCTGAGTGATGTCTTAAAAGAAAATGGCTCACACACATCCACAAAGTTTTGGATGTTGTCATGAGGATCCTCAATATCAAGACCGCCAAAGAGACCCTTCATTTGCAACAGCTGCAACATAGTACTAGTCACATGAAACACTATATTGCCCACAGTCGTAGGTAATCTAATAGCACCCACACTTCCAAGATGATCTTCATTGACATTGTGCAAGTTACCGATGTCATCATTGTGCCCAAGTTGGCTAGCATTGCTCCCGTTGACACTCATCTCTTCACTTGTTTAAGAGCAGCGAACAAAGAACAAAAATAAGTTTATTTAACTACAACAAAATGAGTTCACAACTAAACTTCACTAAAAGAATTCTAAACACCACTCCCCGGCAGTAGCACCATTTTATATAACACTCAACTATACTTCATCCGATTCTATATATAGGCGGTCTCTAACAAGTATAAACCCAACTTAGAGTTGGGGTCGATCCCAAAGGGAGTGTTACGGTAAAATGGTATTCTAATCGTTTGTAGATGCAGACATTTTTTAAACAATAAAGTAAATGACTAGGTGTTTACAATCAATGTCGAATTTGGGGATTTGAGTGAACAGTTAGCAACTACGAACAATCATGAGTAAACAAGTAGAGGGGATTTCTCGAAAGTGTGATCAATTTAATGCCAATTTCGCAAAATGGATGATTATTATTTACTAAAAGTCGTTGAATCTTAGTGGGTAGGCTAGGCTTTAGGTGCTATAGACATTTCTCAATCAAATATTACGAATCAAACAAGTTCTTTGGAACCTCTATAAGCACAACACATATCAACAGCCCAATACCTCAATCAATCCACTTTTTCACGCTAGATTAGTAGGATTAAATTTAGACCCAATTTCTCAAGCTAAGTCTACAATAACCCAATCACTACAATCATCAATTAATAATTTTAACTCCAATACTTCTTTTTCAAGCAAGCTTAGAATGTTGAACTGGAATTGTATTTGCAACTACAATTCATCAATTAAAACTCAACTATTAATTGAACCTAATTCAAATCAACAATAAAACCAGTAAATACTAACACCCATAAGCTAATTGAAACATTCAATTACATAATCACACCCCCAAGAATGGGGGTTTTAGCCAAACATCATAAAGAGCAAGAAATCGTTCTCAACTATGTTTTCCATCAGATTGGGCAACAATCCACAAGTCTTCAAATGCTCCAATTAAAGATAAAAATCAAACCAACCCTAATTCTCTACTCAAAATAGTGTAAAAACATTGTTTAGAATGTTGAGGATAAAAAACTCAGAACTTGACAAATATGGGAACTCTTTTTCTTCTTTTGAAAATTGCATTTATACATTCCAAGAATTTCAGTTTCGGAGTCATTCGGCGAAATAAGTTAGGCTTCACCGACCTGGTCGAGGATGCGCCAAATGCTCTTTTCTATCGCCTTATTGTCTTAGCCTTTCACCACCTCTTTTTTGTGACTTTAGGCGATCAAGGTCAACATCGTCAATCCATTTGATGCTTCACCGAAACATCAATTTGCTCGCCGAGTTGGTCTTATCCATAGGCTGGCCTACTGGAACTTTTGGCGAGCTGAAGGTCCACTCAGTGACTCACCGAGTAGCTTTGGCAAGTACCTACCTTGTTTTTCTTCAACTTTTTTCGCTTCTTTTTGCTCGGTAATGTCCTTGCCTTCCTCTTTTGACTTTCTTGCTGCAAATTAGCTTTTCTAACATCATTTTAGAGAATAAAATAGGCATTGAGGACACTAAAACTTTGAATACTAAGCCATAAATGAGTCAAAATCCCTGACTCATCAATAATTACAAACATGTCAAGGTATTGTCTAAACACCCTATTCATAAAATCCATAAATGCGGCTAGAGCATTAGTCAAACCAAACAGCACAACCAAAAAGTCATAAGGACCATACCGAGTTCAAAAATTCATCTTCGAAATGTAAACTACCTTCACCCTCAATTGATGATAATCCGACCAAAGGTCAATCTTACAAACGTAACTTTCTCCTTCAAGTTAATCAAACAAATCATCTATCCTTGGGAGAGGATATTTGTTCTTAACATTGACGTTATTGAATTACTGATAGTCAATACACATACGAAGTGAACCATATTTCTTTCTAATAAACAAAACTGGAGCACCCCATTAAGAGATACTCGGTTGCATGAAACCCTTATCCAAAAAATCTTTCAATTGCTCATTTAATTCTTTATGATCTATCGGAGTCATACGATAAAGAGGAATAAAAATAGGTTGCGTATCTCGGAGAAGGTTAATACCAAAGTCTATTTCCCTTTTGAGAGGAATACCAGGTAAATTGTTGGGAAACACTTTTAGAAACTCATTAACAACGGGTAGGGGTTTTGGAATCCATAACCCTAACCAGCACAATATTGAACATGCAACCCTTAGAAATTATCTTTCTATATTTAGGACAAGAAACAAACTAACTCTTAGGCATATAATTTCTCCCATTCCATTATAGGATGGGTTCGTTTGGAAATTAAAACTTGACTATACGAGTTCTACAATCAATAGAAGCATAACATGAATGAAGTCAATCCATACCAAACATAACATCAAAATCTAGCATATCAAGCTCTACAAGATCAACATGAGTGACTCTACGAGATATGAAGAAGAAAAAATTTCTATAGACCCTCTTAGCCATAATAGAATTACCAACTGGAGTAGAGACACAAAAAACATCTAACAACACATCCAGAAGAATAGCAAACCTCATGGCCACATATGGTGATACAAAAGACAAGGTAGCACTGGGTCAAGCAAAGCATAAAAATCAAGATGAAAGACTTCCAACATACCGGTAACCACATTAGGATAACCTTGTTGCTCATGATAAGTCTGAAGTGCATAGAATCGGTTTTGCTTCTGATTCCCACTAGAACCTAGATAAGGGTAAGCTTGAGCCCGTCGACGATTGTCTCTTTCATTCTTCACAAATAAGGGACAATCCCTTATCTTTTGATCCATCTTACCACAACCAAAGCACGCATTAGAACCAGCTAGACATTTACCCTTATGCTTTCTTCCACACTTGGAGTAAGAAGACAATGAAGATCCACCACCATTCCCTTCTTGAGGCTTAGGGTTAGACACCCTATCTTTGTTGAACTTAGGAAGAAATTTGGAGGAACCTTGGCTGGAAAAACATTGTCGGAACTTAGAACGACCATGTCTCTTAGACCTTGTATTTGAAAAGTCACTATCACCGGTCTTGGCCCTCTTGCCTCCATAGACCTTTTCTTAATTTTCTCCTCTTTAATATGTTGGGAATGAACCGTGAGACTAGAAACATCCATATCATTAATGATCATAGAGGTACGACATTCCTTAATCACCATATCAGACATGCCCAAAACAAACTTACTCATTCCCGCCCTAGGATCTACAAAAATAGTAGAAGCATATCAAGACAATTGTGTGAACTTCAAAGCATATTCCTTCACACTCATACTTCCTTGATGAAGGTTAATGAATTCTAGAACCTTTGCCTCCTTCATCTCAAGGGGAAAGAACCTATCAAGGAAAATAACCTTAAACTTTTTCCAATCAAGAGGACCCGCATCTTATGCCCTCTCTTATTTCCATTGGTTGAACAATATTTTAGCAATACCTTTAAGTTGATAAGCGGTCAATTCCACCTTTTTCACCGGTGTCACTCCCTTGATCATCAATACGTTATACACTTCATCAATGAACTCTTGAGGATCTTCCTCAACCGTGGAACCATGAAACTCTAGAGGATTTATTCTAGTGAATTCTCTCACTCTAGTTGTCGTTGTACCCAAAACTGAGTTCATGGTGACCACAACCTCCCTATTGACTTGTGTCGTCGTGGCTTGAGCCAACACTTGAAAAACAGCCCTAAACTCTACATTAGTCACTTGTTCGGCCAAAGGGTCAGCCAAAACTAGAGGAGCTTCTTGTTGCACATTCTCTCCCACATTCGTTCTAACATATGACCTTCGAGTGGCATATCCTGAAAAGTATCGGATAGGGATAGAAGAGAAACATTATAGAGTTAAACTCTATCGCACAACTTTAGAGTAATGAAAGAAGTGGAGTTTCCTAAACATCTTATAGCCTCTCATTCATAAATATGGTGTGCTTCACACTCATGAACAAAACTCTACCCGACGTGGCTTATGAGACTTCCTAGGACCTTTCTAAACCTTTCATGATAGGTATAATTTCCTTACTTTTTGTGATGTGTGGCTAAAACCCCAATACTAAGGGTGCAATTATTGGGTGGGGTTTTGATTTAATGTAGTGGGTTTTATATTTGCTCTATTTTACTGTTGTGCATTCATGGATTTATGCCAATTAGCATGGGATTAATTTATGGATTAAGATTACAAATTTAATCCTATTTCGATCTTAGATTGATGCTCGAAAGAGATCAATTGTAGTGGGTAATTAGTTTAATGCATGCAATTTAGGTTTGAATTATATGGTTTACTCGAAAGAAGGATTATGGTTCATATCTAGTCTACCTAATCTGCTCTAGAGAGATTTCATTAGGTAATGGGTTGATTTGTTATTTACAAAGATGAGACCGAAAGGAGATTCTATGATTTGGGATTATGAGATTGAAAGAATATTAGTGTCATTCAAGGTGATCCAGTCTATCCATGATTGTTTTTCACTATTGAGCAACATAATTACCCCTATATGACATTTATACCAATCCCTCCACCCCTAGATTATTTCCACTTGCTTTAATTTGTACTTTCTATTTCATTGTAATATTTTAGTAAATTTTGTAGAATCATCCACCCACTTTCTCTACAACACTACAATGAATAGGTCTACATTCTTAATTTCCTAATTGAATTATTATCCCTAATTGAATTCTTATCCCTAAACCATTCCTTGTGGTATTTGACCGCAACTCTTTGTTGGGTATTTTTATTTACAAAGGCAGCTTAATCTTGTAACTATTTAAGGATAATTTGAGAAATATCATGTATGCATTGACCTCGTGTATGATTCATGATTTCTTTCTAAAAGTCTTATTTTATTTTTCACTTCATCATGCATATCATGTTTAATGTTCCTCATAATATCATGTCGTTGTCTATGTTCTTATGTATCTCCCCATACTTAGTACATCGTACTAATCTATACTTGTGCCTATATTGTCTTATAATATAGGGTCCAACGCTCCTCCCCCTGCTCCTGGTTAGCTTAGATCGCTTTGCTAGTTGATTGGATTGGTGAGTCCTAATGTTTCGAGGACAAGACCATCGATGCTTTTATTGCTTTTTTCATTTATTCATTTCACACTTATACGTGGTGTAGGGGTTACGTCCCAATCATTCTTATGAATTTAGAGAGGCTATGTCAGACACATTTTCAAATTCCTTATATTATATGAGACTTTTATTTCCTATTCTCACTCTTGTTGTTTTTCTATTACATAATTCTATGTCAAGTGGCTTGTCTAGGGCCTATTGGGGTTCTATTTACCATGTCACACCTAGGGGTACTTTGGGTAATGAAAAACTTGGTATTAAGAGCATCAGGTTTTATAATAAGGTTAAAGAATGTATGACAAGCCACGTCGAATAGAGTTTCGTTCATGAATGTGAAGCACGTCACATTTATGAATAGGAGGATACAAGGAGTTAATAAAACTTCACTTCTTTGATTACTCTAAAATTGTGTCATAGAGTTCACCTATATAACAGTCTTTCTCCTAACTCGTGTCTGATGCTTTTAGGGATATGCTTCCTAGAAGATCTAACTTAACAAAAAATGTGAAGCCCGAGGTTCCTCAACTATCGTTCAATCCTTTGGCCAAGCAAGTGACTCATGCCATATTTTGAGCCGCTTTCAAAGTATTAGCTCAAGCTATGACGGCCCAAGATAATAGAGAGGCAATTGCTCGTGTCAACCCAAATATGGGTTCAATGATAATAAGAGTGAGGGACTTCACAAGGATGAATCCCTCAGATTTTCATGGGTCAAAAGTTGATGAGGATCCTCAAGAATTCATTGATGAGATTTATAAAATAGTGGAAATTATGGGAGTGTCAATGGTAAAGAAGGAAGAATTGGCCGCTTGTACACTCGAGGGTATTCCTTATGTTTGGTTCAAGTAATGAAAGGAAGAGAAGGTTGTTGATGTGGGTCCTCTTGATTGGGTAAATTTCAAAGGGGTTTTCCGTGATCATTTCTTTCTTCTTAATAAGAGAGAAGTGAAGGTGCTAGAGTTCATTAATATTCATTAAGAAAGCATGAGTGTGAAATACTATGCTTTGAAGTTTCCTCGATTGTCTAAGTATGCTCGACTATGGTTGCTGACTCTAGGGAAAGAATGAGTAAGTTTTTGTCGGGTGTGTCGAAAATAGTAGTCTAGGAGTATCGTACCACTATATTGATAAAAGATATAGATATCTCCCGTTTGATGATACATTCCAAACAAAGATCTAGAGAGTCAAATAGGTCAAGGATGGATGATGGTGACTTTTCTCATTCTAGGTTTGGTGGACATGGTCGTCCTCAATTCTCGTAAAACAAATTAGGTCAAGGATCTTCTAATGCTCCAGATCCTAACATTAACAAAGATAGGATTTCTTACCCTAAGCCTCAAGGAGGTGGTGGAAATGGATTTTCTATTCCCACTTGCAAAAAGTAAGGCAAGAGTCACTCGGGAAAAGGCTTAGTCAGTAAAGATGTTTGGTTTGTTGTGGGAAGAGTGCACATCAGATGAGGGATTCTTTGTTGAAAGATAATAAGGTCAATGATGGAAGGCAAATCCAGCCTAATGGTTCGAGTTCGAGTGCTCCTTTTCAGAATATGTTATATGCTATTCAGAATCGACATGAAAAGAAGGGTCACCGAATGTTGTGACCGATATGTTGAAAGTATTTTATTTTTATGTGTATGCTTTGCTTTACGTGGGTGCTACCTTGTAATTTGTTACTCTTTATGTGGCCATGAAATTTGATGTTGGTCATGAAATCGTTTCTAATCCCTTTTATGTCTCTCCAACTGTTGGTGAATTTATCACTGCTAAACGAGTCTATACATATTGCCCATTCTCTTTTTCTCATAGAGTCACTCATGTTGATCTAGTAGAGTGTGACATGTTAGATTTTGATGTCATTCTTGGAATGTATTGGATTAATTTTTGTTATGCTTCCATAGATTGTAGGACCCGATTTGTCATATTTCAGGTTTCGAATGAACCTATCTTTAAATGGAAAGAGGGAGATTCAGCTCCTAAGGGATCCTCATGAGCTAGACCCCCAAAAATTCCTTTCATCTGAAGCAATTTTAACATAGTTTCGATGATGTGAAACACAGTCCTCCCGCTTGTAGGATGTATTCGGATTGCTCTCGTTGTTTGAATGACATTAACGGGCATGTCATTTAAATAACCCATGGTGTCATTTTGAACATAGTGAGTGTAATTTTAACTCCCATGGTCACTCATTTTATCAACCTGCAAATCAGCCAACAAAAACACCAACAACAAATCTACTACAAAAATATAAAATTTAAAATCTAAGTTTTTAATTAGAATTCTCAACCACCACTCCTCGACGAGGGCACCATTTTTTAATAACCCTCCCAAACAAATTAAAAGAGTGAGTGAGCGATCGTAGTCAGTAAAAAATCCAACGAAGATTTGGGGTCAAATCCCACAGTTATTGGTATATCTTAGATAATTCCATATCAAGAAATTTGGACTTTAATTTAGCTCATTTGTAATAGTAAAGAAGAATTTGGTAGATGATACCACCAAATTAATATAATGTTTTGGTTATTAATTACCGCAATTAAACTAAAAACTAGACGAAATGAAGAGTTAACAAGCAATATAGGGGTATGGGGATTGAAAATTGATATTACATAAGGGTGATTGTGTTTCTCTATAATGACGAATATTCATGAATAGGCTAAGCCATCTTCATTGAAACCTATCATCTTTCTATCTCAAAGCATCTATGCCTAAAATCTCCTTTCGATCTCATCTATATGCCAATCCTAAACAACCCAGTACCTTACTCTATTCTTTGTTTCAAAAACATGGCAAATAGATCCGACCATAACCTCTCTTTCAAGCAAGTTATATACATCAAACCTAAATTTCTAGTATTGAACTAACTATCCACTCCAATCAATCTTTTTCGAGCATCAACTGGAGATGAGAAGTAGGAATTAAGTTTGCAACCTTAACCCTTGAGTTAACCCCAGGGTAATTATACCAAATTCATGTATGAACAACAAAAAAACAGAGCATAGTGCAATACCCACTACATTAAATCAACATCAAACTCCATTTGAACACCCTTTGGTCTTGGGGTTTTAGCCACCCATCACAAAAAGTAAAGATATTATACCTTCTGTGAAAGCAGCCATTGGTAACGTTAAATCAATGAAATTAAGAGTAAATCCACTTTGGATTTAACATCAATTTATCGAATTCAAGTTCCAAATTGAAAATACCCAAAAGCTAGAAAAGTGTTCGAAGACTCTCTCTCTCCAACTATATATTTTGAACTCTCCAAATAAACTCTCCAAAATCAAAACTCAAAAAGGAATATTTAAGAATTGTGTCTTTTGGGCTATTTATACTTTCCAAAAATTTGTCCCAAAATCTACTTTGCAACTGACTCGGCGATATTAGTCGGGCACGCCAAACCTGCTCGGTGAATCACCATTCGCTCCTCAACCCACCTTGTGATTCTCTAGGCTTTAGGTGTTTAAACCTCAATTGGAAAACATGATTAAGTCAGCCTTTTACGTTTGGCAAATCGCTAAATACCACCTTCATTTGTCTTTCAAGAATTCAATCTTTGCACTGCACACTTTTGCTTTGAAGGATATGCATTAGGACCGTCGTTCTCATTTGGCACATCGCCATTTCTACTATAGTATGTGGACCTCCTGTGATAGACACAAGTACTATGCACTATTTAATTAGGTGAGGTCGTGCTCAGTGGGCGATCCACCCTTCATGTTAGGCGATCAAAAATGTTTACTTTGCACTACTTTTTGTATTTTTGGCCAATATTTCAAACATCATTCCTTGTCTTGTCCAATTGCCTCTGTAGCTGCAAATCATAAATATTCTATTAGAATAGGAAATAATTAGACAATGAGGACAATAATTATTGAGTTAAATGGATCTTAAATGAGTGCAAATCTACGACTCATCAACACCCCTAACTTAATTTTTTATTTATCCTCAAGTAAATCAAGAACTCAAAAGGCTTAATAAGGGTGTCTACAACAGTACTCAATGAGAACTAACATGCAAGCGTCATAGGAAGACTACTCTCAATCACATTTTACCCTCAATCATGATAAAAAAAAACTTCAAATGATGACTAGCTAGTCTCAACAGAAGCTCAAGATCACCTTAGCTTCTTGTCTAATGAAAGAACATGTTTCAACAAATGCATTCAACTGCCCTCACATCAAGAACGATTTCATTATTTCATGAAGCAAATCAACAAGGGTGTAAGGAATTAATGCAACTCTCATTCTCTCAAAAGAGAAATACAAGGATGGTTTGTCCCATAGGTTTGCCCATATTTTCCAATCATCACAAAACCTAATTCATGCAAGATCTCAAGGGTCTTTTAAACTTGTAATAGGGCTGAGGGTTATGGAATGATTAATTTGGATTGGTGACTTATACCTTTTCAAAGCATTGTTGAGATAATCATCACCTCTTCCCTAGTTTCTTTCCTTATTTTTCATTTGAGAACTCAACCCTTGACTTGTCACTCAATTTATTTGGAATCCACTTTTCTTTCATTCACTTCTCTTTTACATTTTCATTTTTCCAAGGCATTTTCATAACAATGATTTTTTATTTTTTTTATAAGGACGATTTCCTTTTTTTTGTAACACTTTCAAAGTTAGGTCTCATTTCAATTTCTTTGCTCTTCACTTGGATTTCATTCTTCCTTCGTTTCCACCCCCCCCCCCCCACCCCAACTTAGGCTTTTGGCATAAGGTTGCTATTCAAACATTAGAATGCTTCAAAAAAAGTTGGTGAGAAGAGAGGGATAATTTGGCTCAAGAGGATTTCTTTTGGTTGCCAACAAAATAGGTTAGGCTTAAATGGTGCCAAAATAGATTCACACCCTCACAAGGTAGTCACAAAGAATTTATGGACAATTTGGTTCTCTCTTTCAATTGTTGCCCAAGATCATGTCTTACATTCACCAAGATTCACACAATTGGACTAACAAGGAAAATTCTAGGACTCCATATGCATGGTTTCAAGTAAGATCTCACTACACATGGCATTTCAAAATAAATTCATTTAGCACATCCCGAAAATATCAAAAGCATACATGTGATGTTCATTGCAAGGCTCACATCAAAATGCATCTAGTCAATAAAAGAGATCGCTCAAAGGTGCAATCACATCGATTTAATTATCACAACATCAACAATGCATAATGCTCATCGTGACTCCTATTGATGACATCGATATTGAACACAATCGATCCTCAAATTGTTATAAATGAAAACTTCAAGAATGTCACGATTTAAACTCATGAGGGGTTGCGACATCAAGGGAGAACAAAACATAAATAAAGAAACAAGCTTTAAACCAAAACAACACTCTAATATAAACAAAAATTACTACTACAACAGTTCAAAACTCAAAATAACAAAATACAATCAAAAGGGGAATATTGGCACAAATGTCCTCACCCCACCAAAAATAGAATGCACTATCCTTAATGCAATATAAACAAAAGTATAGGGAGGCTAAGATAAAGGGTCTCCCTGATAGGCTATCCATGTAGAGCACTCTCATCTGTAGTCTCGGGTAGTGAAGCATCAAGATGGGCATCATGCCCATCAACAGGATCACTAGAGGCGAGAGGGAAGGCTCAACTTGGGCATCAGTGCCGGTATCAGCAATAAGAGGTAAGGTGGGGTCTGGAGTGACTCCTTTAGAACACATCTCTAAATTCTCTCGAAGAGATCTATCCGGGACTACCTAAAGAAAGACCTCCTTAGATTCTTATATCAATGTCAGTGTCTAAGCAATCCCTTACTCTTCAGCATGCAACTCCTCCTCATCGGTCTCCTTAGCCAAATCATCCTCATCCCTCTCACTCTCATCAGCATCAACAGACTCAACATGCAGAGTAACCTCAGGATGCTCACTAAAGGAAGGCATAACACTCAGCATCTTTTCCATGGGAGAAGGTGCATCTGGAAGGGAAACGTCGCCCCAAAGCATGGAGATGTCCATCGATTGAAACTGGACGACCTCCACCCTCAGTGTAGTAATCTTTTATATTGCATGGCATCTAGTGCGCCAAAGCTACCCTCGGCCTCCTCCCGAGCCTCTGACCTAGTGGTGAGATCATCCAATCTCACGTTGTGACTCTCAATGGTCCCCTCAAACTTGACCACCCGCTCTATCAAAGGAGCCAAGGCCTTCTTAATGGCCTGGTCAATAATCTTGGGCATGTCCGTCTAAACCCAAGGTTGCCCATCTAGTGAATCAAGGCCTAGGTCAAGGGGATGGGAAAAAGGAGAGGGGTAAGGCCTCAAAGCAAACACAACGGCAAATATAGGAGGCACAAATATAGAAACAGAAGGGCCAATCATGGAGGAAGGTGTAGAAGTACTTGTCTGCTCCACAGAAAGAGCATGTGTGCTAGAATCTGATGGTGGTCGCTTCCTCTGAGCCGCATTGTCCCGTAAGTACTCGGCCTCGATCCTCCGAATGATACTGGAGGAGACCAATGTGATCCTGACATCAGTTTTTCCCCAAAAGGGAACTCTCGCTCTGTTACATAGCTACATAATGAGCACTAGGAAGGGGAGATATGTATGTTCTTGTCTTGCCTGTAGTTGTAGCAGTATCTCTTCCACAATTATGTCGCTACATTGATATTTTATTTCTCAAAAGTAGAGCCTACTATCACTGTCTTTGGATGTCGGAATATTGATTTGTTTTGGGATGGCATCACGTTGCTGCTGATAAACCCGAACCAATATCTTGACACGATGTTTAGGTTGTTCCTTTCTATCATAGAACCTTCAGCATCTAAGAGGGTGAAGACGCATTAGATATCAGAGGGGCCAACAACCCCTTTGGAGAATCTAGAGTCTTGGTCATGCTAGTCTTGTATTCATCTATATGATTAGAGGGGTACCCAATAATGTGTTGCACTAACCATCTTGCCTCTCACTTCCACTTCATCTACCATTTTCCAGACAATGCCTTCTCTTTTTTGGAAAATATTTTGCATAGGCGTCATAGAATTCACGTACCCACTTGGCACATAGGTTCTCTGGCTTATATAAACTGCTTCAACCTGTGGAATTTGATAGTTGTCCATAAGGCAGGATAATTGCTCATGACTCCCTCAATCAAGAGTCGACGCTTCTCCTGAATGGTCCGTTCTCATTCTTCCTTAAGCCTATTCAGAGCCGTTGGAGCTATTATTGGGAGAACGCAAGAAGCAGGATCAGGATCTTGTGGGGGCGACACCAACTTTGAACGGATATTCACATGCTTAGAGGGGATGTGCTTCCTCACTTTGTTACCCCCTGCTAGTAGGGTCTGAGGGTTCGTTGTTGGGTATAAAAATCCTCTAAAGGCTCATTTATAGAAATGCCTTTTGTTTTTTTGGAGGAGAGGGAAAAGGAGAAGACTCTCTATCTAAAGCACTGTCAAAGGAAACCACTTGTTTGCCTTTAGTTTTTGCCATTACCTATAAAGCACACATTTAAACATGATATTTGTGAAGGTTATAAAAATTGAATTATTATAAATAGTAATTTGTTCATGTGGGCACATATATACCTTTAAAATTCATTATTAAATAGTGCAGGGGATAATAGGTCTTGCCCAAAGTTTGAGATTTTTACAGCAATTTCGGTCAAAGTTCGGATATATTTCGAACCCTTTTCCCAAAAAAAAAATGACCACTCTTGATTTGGTTTGATATTAAAAGAAAAAAAGTCAAACCGAACCCAAACCAAACGGTCATAATACACACACACACACATATATATATATATATATATATACACACACACATATATATATATATATATATATATATATATATATATATATAATTTTATTTTATTTATATATTAAAATATCATTTATAATCTAATTTGTTAATATATTTTTAGTTAGTTTATAGTTTTCAATGTTTAGATATACTATTTCAAATTTGGGCTTGTAAAATTTTGTAAATATTTTATTTTGTATTAAGATCGGAAGTAATTATTGTTATAGTTTTTCAAATTCGAAGTTAACAATTTAATTTGTAAATATTTTGTTTTGTATTCAGTTTGACTGTAGCCTTTAATCTTATTAATTTAACATAATGAACGTTGATATTCAAATAAAAGTATTTTGT